GCTGCTTAATTTGATCTGTTTTAATCCAATTACACATTACCAGACCTGAAGATGACCAGGATGGAGCCTGGTCATCTGAATAAGGTTTAACAGACAGAATTAACCCTACAGAGAATTTTTTTTTCTGTTTTTGGTAGAGTAAATACGCAGGGTTCAGATGTAAAATGAAATCAATTTAAATTATGATTAGTTATTTTATATCAGGGGTTATATTCTACGTTCACATATCACATGTAGCTGAAGCATTTTGCAGTTAAGCTGTGCTTTTCCACATCTTTCTCATGATTTCTTAGCTGAACCCTGAAGAATGTCTATAAATAATAACTGAAGTTATAAAATGACTAAGAATGACTTGTGTCCAGTAAAAACACGATGCTAATCAGATTCTATTAGTTCTCCATGTTAGGTTAGCATCTCTGCTACTTGTTGCTCAGCAGACAGAATAAAAGAGTTTTTTTGGTAAATATTAATTTTCATTCTTTATTAGGCCAAAATAAGTAAATCAGTGTTCATTAATGTAAAATAAGCCACACTCATTTTAATTAGTAAATTTGTATTTCTGTCTGTATTTCAGTTTTTCAGTTCACCCTGTGTTTACCAACCTCCTACTGGTGTTTATTTACAAACCTGATAGTCAGATAATCGAGATGCATTAATTAAATCAAACTAATTGGAAAGCACAGTTAATTATCCAAACAAGCACCTTTATTGGACTTGGACTCCTGGCTGGGCGGTGGGACTTTGGTTTGCGCCGTCAGCAACAACTCGTATGTGTGATCCTCCTCTTCTTCAGCTGCCTCTCCCCTTTGGTCAATACAGCTGTTTGTAAAAAGGGCCTGAAAGGACAAAACAAAAACGAGGCTCTGGTTGGTATTCATGGGTGGTCGTGCTCTCTGCTGTAAATGCCTCCTTCAGGGAGGAAAATGGAAACTGTTTTAGCATACTCTGAGGTCAGGTCAGACTCCTTTTCCACCTCCCTCCTCCTCCTCCTCCCTTACACAGCACTCAGATACATATTTAGTAGGATGTGATCAACTATGCTGCGAGGAAGTGGGAGTTATTCTCAGTAAAGCATAATCATTTTCTGACAGCCTGTTAGCGTTTTGCTAACAAAAAGTGTCAAGCCCAACATAAAGGTTCACCTTTTGAATGTAATCTGAGCACCATGGCTGCTTAAAAGGAGAGTAAGTTTTTGCTGGAAGGTGTCATGCCTTTGTGGCCTCACCTCTGAGCTTATCACTTCTTCGTGAGCAGGACCAGGATGTGACGACTGGACAGAACGATCTTTCTGTGAATGAATGAAAGAGCTGCTCAGTAAATTACAAGCTGATAATCTTTTTATTATAAACTGTTTATCCAGAGATGTGTTGGGGGTATTTTTTTTTTTTTTTGTGCAGAGTGAACAACTCCCTCTAGTGGAGACACTGGGTTGGACCGCCCACAGAAACGTGTGGAGCTCAGTCTCTGTGTCGTGTTTGTGGGTTCTGGAGGTCCTGCTAACCTTGCCGACTTCACTGTCAGGCCGTCCCGAGTCCCTGTCGGAGGATTTGCCGCTGGTGAGGCTGTCCAAAGAGTGGCAGGAGGTGGCTTCAAACAGGGCTTCGTACGGGCTCTCCTCCTCAGGGCCCAGGGCAAACCCAGAGATCAGCTCTGTCACTCTCTCCATGTCAGCTGTACAACCAATCACAAACAGGAAAACTTCAAAATGATAGAAACATGATCACCTCCCCTTCAGGTCGACATCAGGGCCTCTCAGAGACAAACACTGATTTAAAGATATATATTCAGTCTAATAATATTCACTGTTACCTCAGGGGTGTTTTAAAGAGCTAAACCTGATTAGCATTTGATCATATCCTATACATCACGTGTCAAACTGAAGGCCCATGGGCCAAATATGGCCCTCATAAACATTTTATCAGGCCCTAAAAGTAATATTTAAGATGAAAAATAGTTTTATGGTTTCTCTTTTAGTCTGTATTTAGTGCATTCATCTCATGACAGCTGGCCAACTTTCAAAATAAGAAAATAAGTGAAATGATTTTGAGCAACAAATTCAAATAAATGGATTTTTTGTTTGATTTCTGTACCTGTTTTGCTAGATTGTGAAAACATTTATCTCTAAGATATAATAATTGAAGTTGGGGAGAGGTGGTGCAGAGATTAGAGAAGGTTGCCAGTTCAACTCCCCGACCAGCGCCACTCTGGGCCCTTGAGCAAGGCCCTTAACCTTTCAGTTGCTTCCCAGGCACCTCAAAAATTGCAGCCCACTGCTCTACGTGTGTGCTCACATGCGTGATGAGAGAAATGCAGAGAATGAATTTCCCCACCCGGGGATCAATAAAGGTCAATAAAATAAAAAAATAATATAAAAAGATTGTTTAAAAGAAAGTAAGGCATTAGATATTACTGTTAAAGATGTCTTTCTAAATCTGTATCTTCCGGACTATAAGTCACTGCAGAGTATAAGTTGCATCAGTCAAAAAATGAGTCATGAAGAGGAAAAAAACATATAAGTTGCTCCTTACTATAAGACTACGTTCACACTGCAGACAAATCCGACCCAAATCCGATTTATTTGACCCATCTGACTCATATCCGATTTTTTACGACAGTCTGAACGAGACAAATCTGATTTTTTCAGTTTCAGTATGTGGTTTTAAATCGGATATATATCTGTTTTCAAAGTGACTGCAGTGTGAACGCTCATGTCATATTCATCTGACTTTTTCATCAGGAGGAGGGGGTGAAGGATCGATAAGACACTAACCTCAAGTCTCGCTGTTTAAATCTGCAGCTCCATGTGTTTACAGCTCCAAAACACAAGTCCAGTTGCTTCATCTTTTTACTTTTTATTAGTATGATAATAACGATGTCCAGCCTGGGTCGTGGAGAGTATCGATCCTAAAGTTAGCTACTTGGTCAATACTTTTTTCCAGCTCGTAGTTTCGTTCAACAAAAAAAAAAAGCTTCACTGGAGCATCCCGGTCAGAGGCAGGTTCAGATATAAACACTGAACTAAAGAAGCATGTCAGATAATTATTTAATCAACTCTGATTAAACAACAACTTATGATACGATGCGCAAAATGTAGCATCCATGCTAGCTCTGTAAACAAACAAGCCGGCTGATGAGACGTCACGTCTTTTACTGCGCATGCGTGTCACATCAGTGCAGTGTAGCGTTCACACAGGGGTCTGATACAGGTCACATTTAAAATGTAATGTGAACGTTCACACAAAAAGATCGGATTTTTAAAAAAAAAAAACAACCTACGGTTGTTTCGCTATGCGTGTGCGCACGCGTGTGTGTACAGATTTTTGTTTCATGGTGGGTACAATTATTGACCATTTCCTCGGTACACACAGCCTGGTGAGGTTAGGGTTTGGGTCAGGTGTGTAGTCTACCTGGGAGGTTATGGTTGGCTGTAGAATTGACGGGGAAATGAATGGAAACCAATGCAAAGTCCCCATGAGGATAGAACAATAAACGTGTGTGTGTGTGTGGGAGGTGTGGAGCGGAGCTGCGAGCAAAGCGCAGTGTTATTAGGAGAGATGGAGACTGTCGGCGGGCGACCATTGATACTGATGGATTATTTTTATGGAACATGGAAACTTTAGTTTCAGCGGGCGACAGCTCCCCCTCCGCCTCGAACGATTGGTCGCACCAGTGCGACTGGAGATTTTTTTAGTCGTACCAATAGGAAATCAGGTTGCATTTGCAACCAAACTGGTTGCATTCTAGAGCCCTGATGAAGAGGAAAACACATATACAAGTCATACCTGACTAAGTTGCAGGAACAGCCAAACTATAAAAAGCTGTGACAGCCAGGACAATACAGTATGTTCTAAATGCTACAGAAAACATACTTTGGAAAAGTTAATTTGTATTTCTATAAGAATGTTTTTATATATAACAGTGACAGAAACTGGTTCTTGGGTTGGACTAACTTTTCAGTTTTGGCCCCCTTGTGTAACTGAGTTTGACCCCCCTGCTCTACATCAGTGCTGCATCTTCAGTCCTCTACAACAGTGGTTCCAAACCATTTAGACTTGTGTACCCCCTGAGCCATCTTGTCATACCCCTAGTATCCCCTCTGTCAAACATAATGACGATTCAGCAAAACTATAATGTACAACAGCTGACTATTACCGTATTTTCCGGACTATAAGTCGCACTTTTTTTTATAGTTTGACTCGTCCTGCGACTCATACACCGGAGCGACTTATTTATTTATTTTTTTCTCTCTCTCTCTTCACGACGCCTCTTTTTTCGCTGTTGCATTTAATATTAAATGACTGACATGAACAATACTACCTACAGCCATGAGGGGGCGCCATAGAATTGTGAATGTTTTTTTTTTGTGCTAGTTTAAATAGCTGAAGCATTAATATATATAAAGAAAACTGAGAAAGACTGGACTGGATGGATCGACAAAGCGTGGACTTCTGTGACAGTTGAAACCATCCTGTCAGGATTCAGAAAGGCTGGAATAACGGGAACTGAAGCTGAGTCTGATGACAGCCCTGCAGAAGACGAGATGTCGGCAGCACTTCCTCTTCCTCTGCAGTTGGCGGAGTTGTTCAGAAGCGACACCGAGGATGAAGACTTTAACGGATTCAGTGATGTGGAGTGAGATCGGTGAAGCTGTGGTGAAATGTAATTTGCTTTTTGGACTGGCTGGTTTGTTACATAATGTTAATTAAGCCTGGGCATTATAAAATATATTTCTAAATAAATGTGACTTATACTCAGGTTCGACTTATCTGTGGTTTTTTTTCTCTTCATGATGCATATTTTTACTTTTGTGACTTATACTCCAAAGCGACTTATAGTCCAGAAAATACGGTAAATGAAAATTATTTATTTAACCCCCTAGAACATTTAATTCTCAGGCATTTTATTCTTTTCTAAGAAAGATAGAAGATAAAACATTGCCTTGAAAGTGAGTGAGTAATTATATAAATAATTAAAACAGGAAGCAGCAGCGTACAAAATGCATCAGAAACTCGCCTAAATGAGCATAACCCATGAGATTATGTGTTTATACTGTTTTCCATTTTGTGTTCAAATCCATGATTTCCGCATTGCAGAAATCATAGAGCCCTACATAACTCAGTCCTATTTTTATTTATTTTTTCTACACCTGGAAATTTTTTCCACGTACCCCCTGTAATGTGCTCGCGTAATCAATCATTCATGTTCACCTTTAAAAGTAACAACAAACATCAGCTTTTTGGGCTCATATAAAGAAACGTTTGTCAAATCTCACCCTTCTTTCTCGGACTGGGACTCTCCTGAGGTGGAGGGATGGGTGGAGGGGGTAGGTCAATGATGGGGGGTTTTCCAGTCATGTGACCTGCAACAAACACAAAGATCGTATCACAACAAAAAAATCCAAAAAGGTGCTTTCCCCGCGGCTCCCTGGTGCGCATTTTGCCTTTACCGTGAATAAGAGCTGCTATTTCTCGGCTTTTTTTGGAGGGCATGTCTTTGACAGTGTCCAGCGCCGTCAGGCCCTTCTGGTCGACAATATTTACATCGATACCTGGGAAATAATGACAGATGGTCAGTCCGGACAGAAGTCTTGAGTGCTTATGGTGGTTTTGAGTTCTGACCTGCACTGAGAAGTTTTTGCACGACGTCTCTTTTCCCAAACAGGGCTGCTTCATGAAGGGCACTGCCTTTCTCCGTCTGCACAGAAAAAAAAAAAAAGAATCCTAAGCCTAAGTCCAGAGGTTTAACAACAGGAGACACTCTAAATGTGACCCACATAAAAGGGGAAATTGCTCTCCGGATGAATCACTAAGTCTTGTTTTAACACCAACACTTGAGGAAGATAAACACCGTTTGGCAACCATCAGATTCATGCCAGCTACGCAGCCGACAATTATGCGTTTGGGGAGGAAAAGTCGATTATTTTCCAGCTCATGGGGCCATGCTAATTGAAACCTGCAGGATGCAGAACAGATTCCACATCTTACCATTCAAAGGAAAAGCAGGGCAGAGGAAGGGGAAAGTGGATCCAGACAGATGGGAGGCCCAGTTTGATACAGAGACGGAGCCTGGGGGTCCACCGGGGTGGGTGGATGGGTGGGGGAGAGGGGGCCAGCTTTGCTTTGAAATGCTTAAAGAGTTTTATGTTTAATGTCAGAGCATTTAGCGAGGCGTTGCGGCAGGGGGAAAGTGCTGCATACACCGGCCGCCACGAGCCGAGCTGTGAAGGAGAAGCTTTCAGGTAAACAACGCACCTCGTAGTTGATGTCCATGCCGGCGTCCAGAAGCACCTCGACCACGGGGAGGTGTCCGTTCCGGGACGCCAGGTGGAGGGGCGTGTGCTTCTTGGTGTTGCAGCCGAGCAGGTTGGGGTGAGCGCTGAGCAGCAGCCTCACCACATCCAGGCGGCCGTAGAGCGCCGCCAGGTCCAGCGGCGTCTCAAACTTGTTGTTCCTCATGGTGGGATCGGTCAGCTCCTCCAGCAGGAGGCGCACCACGCGGGTGTGGCCGTACTGGGCGGCACAGTGCAGCGGCGTCTCGTTGTCATTGTTCTGTTGGGGAAGGCCGATATAAACTGGGTGAGAGGCAGGCCACACGTCGAAACGCGTGAGGGTGGCGTGACAAAACAAACCGGCTGATCAGTGAAGTGAGTAAAGAGGCCAGCTGAGAGGAGAGAGCCCACGGTAGCAGGAGGGAAAGATGATGAAAGAAGCCACAACACAATGAAACGCTTAGAGCAGGACGGGGACAGGCCTGAGTGGAGGACCACACTACATGCGTGGACTAATGAGGACAGAACTGCAAGGTGACACACAAACCCGTGTGACTTCGAGAGATGATACGCTTTGATGACAGATGCTTTAAAATTTGTCTCTGCTTAATGTTACTACAGTACAAGTACTTCCGCATACTGTAAATACAAGTGATTGAGGTATAAGTCAGGCTGCTGTTTCTACATGTTACTATGAAAGCCTGCAGGAAGCTGATTAAAAAAGCTAAACTAGCTTCTTTACAGTTATACAGTACTGAGCCAACGTCTATTTCCTAGAAAAGTACTTTGTTTCCAAACAGCAGAGGTGTCAAAAGTATTCACGTCTAAAGTAGAAGTACAGATACTAGGGTTACAAAAAACTTCAGATGAAGCTGAAGCATCAACTCAAGCTTTTAATTCAATTCAATTCAATTCAAATCAATTCAGTTTATTTACAGTATATACCATCAAGTCACAATATATTTTGCCTGAAGGTACTATACAAAAATCAGACCATCAATAAAGGCCCTGTCACACTATAACCTTTTACACAACTTACGAAAATTTTGTTATGACTATTTTACTCATTTCGATTATGTTTTTGATCAACCTAATTGTTAGCATTACTGTATGCATAGGTCCAAAAGAGGCTTTTAAAGATTTTTTTGTACATTCCATCTTCAGCGTAGACATTTTTATTGTCTGAGAAACTTTTCATAAGTTGGTATAAGTTGTCTAAAACATCACAGTGTGACAGAACCTTTATGAAGCCAGCAGATTATGTTGAATCCTCACTTCATCACAGTCTCCCACACATACCGCTACATGTCAACCCCTTTGGACGTTTACCAGTATAAAGTGCCTCAAAAATCAGTAAATTTTGCTAAAAATCCATACATCTCGCAGTGGGGGGTGTCGGCTGCGGTGATGACAGCTCCTGCTGCGAAGCAGGAGGAAAAGAGAGTGGAAAAAGTCCAAAACTTGTTTCTAGCAGCAGAACAGGTTGGAAGATGGTTATTTGATGTTATTTATTGTTTTTTTAAATCATCTTACAGGTTCTGACATGTTAAATTAATTTAAAAACGAGGTTTTGAAAACATCTGTAAGACTTGAAAAAATCCGCAAGTTTGCTCAATACGCCCGTATACCCGCAAAATGACGTAAAATCCTTATAACGTAGGAACAATCCGTACAACTTGACGTCTATGCCCACACTGAGCAGCACATTATCAGCAGTGGACAGGATAAGTGAAAAAGTGTACTCAAGTGTAAAAGTGTTGGTTTTAAAACTACGTAAAGTATAAAAGTAAAAGTAATGTAATGGGCAAAAAATAAATAAATAAAGACATTAAGGACAAAAGCTTAGGCTGCACCACAGGGGTCTATAGAGCACAACTCCACCTCCCTAAAAATACATTTTCCTAAAGGCCATAATGACTGAACCGTTATAGTAAAATTTGAGATGCACTAGGTTTGCTGTTTCTGCCACGGTCATCTTCATAAGTCTGATACGTTCTGCTGGAGTGTGACGTAATTTGTGATTGATCCAAACCAATATTTATACTTCTCATCCAACCACAATTAAATCCACTCTATTCAGTGCCACATAACTGGATAGACTGTGTTTTTTTTTTTTTTTACAATAAGCTGGGATGAAAAAGGAGTAATGAGACTATTTTTAAAATGTAAAAAATAGAAAGTACAGATAATTGTGTGAAAATGTAGAAGTAAAAAGACTGCTGAAAAATACTTACTCCAGTAAAGCTAGATCAGTATTTTTCAACCCTGGTCCTCAAAGCACACTGCCCTACATGTTTTAGATCAGTGGTTCTTAACCTGGGTTCGATCGAACCCTAGGGGTTCGATGAGCCGGTCTCAGGGGTTCGGTGGAGCCTCTGCCGCGGAGGTGTAAAGTCGTGATGACACGCCCCACTTGGCCATCAGTTGCTGCAGAGGATCACGTGAGATTGCTTGGCCAATCAGTGCTGG